GCGTCTAGCACTTGTTCGGTACGACCTCGAAAACTTAGGCCTAAAGTTGGCGTATGTAATATTAGTGACGAAGAAATAGATGCCTATATTTTACAAACGTGGGTTACCCATCCCTTAGGGTAAAAGGAATTTCAAGAGGTATCTGTATTGGTTTAGTAGCCTTTAAAACTATTGCTAAGAAAGGGTAAAATTTCAATAATGAAGTTTCAACTGTTACAGACTTACAAAGTTCGAAATCATTTACTTTAAATTTCATGTGAAGCAAGATGTTTAGTTGAAGTACTTAAAGTATTTTAAATATTTCCACAAAATTGGGTTATCCAATCGAGTCACTAACATTTAAAGACACTTGAGCACACACCAGTATAACATTTACCATGGAGTATTATGTAACAGAAAGCGAGTACGAACTTGAAATACTTTTGCAAAGGTTGCTTCTTCGTAAAAACAGAGGAAGCCTCACAAAGAATTAACCCCGCGCCAAGTAACGTGAGTTCTTCCACAAAAACGTGTTACAATTACAACATCATTGTTAAGTTTAAGGCGAGCAATCTTTGTTAAACTTAATGAATTTTCATTCGATCTTTCATAAGAATTATTAGAATTTTTTCCCTCATCTAACAATAGCTCATTATGCTTGAAGAAATTGTCGTGTTGTGTTTTACACGCGAACTTTAACTGTAAGTGAAGTCAACTTATTATTTACATTTATCTCTTTCTGAAGTATTTTGTTTAACCGTAAAGAGATATTCCAGAAAATGTCTTTCCGTGATATCATATTTATAAAGAAACAGTCATTAAAAATGATAGTCACGTTATCATCACGCAATGTAAAACCAGTGTACTTTGCATTCTTTGGGTGCAGCCTCGATTAGTTTAGACAAGATATGAAAAAAGGAAAAAGATTCTGTAGAAAAAATGTTACAGATAGCATATACTCCAAATCGAAGTATGAACGTAGCATGGTTTCATTAATTTTCAATATGGGGTTCCCCAAGGTATCATTGTTGGACCTGCACATTTTATAAACTAAATTCACCGAACAACTTAAATGAATTTCTAATATGTGTAACCAACGTACTAGTAATAACATTGTATATTATTTAAAAGTACCACTTAGTTAATACTTATACCTACATAATTGTCTAGTTAACAGTTTCGGCGGTCGATCACATAGCGCGCTGACGAAAGACGTGACGTGTTATATTAACAGTCAAATTTGAATTTATATAGGTAACATTGCTACGTCATGCATACACGACTACGTTTCGATTTATGTAGCCGTAATTACAGGGGTTGAAGTTAAAGTGAAGGGCTTAAATTAAACTATCAAAGCAGTATTAAATATTATTGTTAGAACAAGGGAGATTTATATGAAATAAAGTATGACTTTGAGAATTGTTCCCATTTTATTATATACGTTAATATATATTATTAGGAGTTTAATTTGTGCAAAGATTTAAGTTTTCCATTAACAAGGTTTATCGTAAGAGGGGTTTAGCTTGGTGGTCTCTAATTAGGATACGTCACCCCATCTCTTCCCTGGTGAGGGGCGACTGCAGGATTATAATGAGGGGAGAGCGGGTTGAATTCACTTTTCGCTACATGAAAGGTGATATACGCTAGAGTAGTCGTGTCAACGTCCGCTTACTTATACATTATAAAACATTACTCTGTGATGTTCCCCAATTTTGAAAAGAATGATTCGTACAGTACGAACAAAAATATTTTAATCAAGTTTTACTTTTCTTGTTATTTTATGCGGGCGTCATCTGTTAGTACCATCCAGTCCTTTGACCCTCCACAGCCTGAGGCCTCTTGTGTTAGCGATTTATTATGACCTAGCGTTTGGTTCGCACCCTAAACCTTCGGTGATCAAATTTTAACGAAAATTTTTTTTATGCTATCAGTAATTTTCAATTACTCTACCAAAAAGTATCGGACCATGGATATCGTGCATGCATTATCATATGGTCAATAAAATTAATTCTGGTGCAAACTGCAAAAAAATATCGCTTTATACTGTAAAAGTCATCATTAAACGCGTAAATTCAACACAAATAATATTGTGCGTCGCTTTTCCGTCTATCTGAAAAATATACGTTATCACACGCAAACGCATTACGTGAAAACCACAAATAAAATTTATTATCGATCGTACGTAGTGCAAACATGTTTTTTTCCGAATCTGCGTAGATAAAAAAAACGAAATGCATTCGTCATTTTGTTTTCGAATTCCGGCTACAATTAGATAACCCGGGTTCATTATCTCGGCGCGACACGTGTAAAATTTGGAGGCCAAATTTTTTTATTTTCATTTTTATAGATACACAGAAATAAAATGCACTTGTTGTGTCATATAATTCGTGAAGTTTTTTTTTCGTCTACACGTGCAGTTGATAGACGAGATGGGTGTCAGGAAAATAGCTTTTGGCTAGCTGTGTGTTTAAAATGTCTGCGCGCAGTCACAGGGTTGACTGAAAACAATTGATTTTTTATGTACACTAGTTTATATGGTGTCGCTGTCGAGTATTGTATAATCTACAATAAATAGGGCACTAGGGAAACCTTAATGAATATTCACCTACTTCCTCGTATCAGATAAGATTGAATCGAATATGCGCGTGTAAAGTTTTAGGAATTCTACAATAATTTACAAAGCGCTATTTTTAGCAATCGGTGTATTTCGAGCGTTACGAACAATCTTGATACTACAAATATTTTTGTATTGAATCCAACTCGTTTTGGGATCTACATAATATATGTTTGTAGTACGTGTGGAAGTAATACCCCATAAATCGGACATCGCTTGTGTATCATACTCATAACATATGATATTTACTACATAAACTAAAGGAGGTTTTGTTATAGGGAAAAAATGTTACGCAAAATGTAGAAAAACTATAAAACGACATGGACTGAATGATAAATCAAAAAATATCACGACCGAATCCACGAAAACTGCCAATATGCAGCAGACTGGCGACAGAAAAAAAATTGATAATATGTAGCGCAAACATTGCCAAAAAAATTTTATATAGAGGCAATTTATCGCACGACGGTGTCAACGACCTGTTTATCGCTATAGCAAGATTTCGCGGACATGCATGCCTGTACGACATTATGTAGGTAGGCACTAAGTGATAAAAAAGTGATAATAAAATTTGCAATATTACGAAATATGTACAAATGTATAATGGTACTGCTGATACAGAGACCTTCGCAGACGTTTATGTATATAACAATTTACTAAACAAACATATACATGCACGTGTAGGTATATATATTTTTATGTAATATAATATTAAACTTCCCATTTTTTCGAATATTCAAAATCGTGCATTGTTTCGTGTGTTTAATATTTATATAATTTCCGAATATGACATCGTTCAAGAACGTTGCATTAACACTAATATTAAAATTTACTGTTTTTTCTCAAAATTATAAAATGGAAAAATTCAAAACGAATATCACCCAAAACCTCAAAATTAATCTCACCGTTATTACTAGTAAAGCAACATTCTGTAACTAACCATACGTTTCAAAGTACCTGCCTACCTAGTTCAGAATTTCATGGAAAATTGAACCGAGGGTTTGAAAACCGTGACGCAGATTGATCGAGTAATGTCACAAAGTACTAACGACGTACAAACCTACGCAGACGCACATAGTAACCTATTTACATAAGATGACTTACTACATACAAAGGAGATAAGATACTGATTAAAGCACCTATGACAATTTAGGAGGATGAATCAAAAAATGCTATGAGTAGGTATATATCACACTACACTGATGACTGTACTTCAAATTCTACGTAAAACATTCACTGGTGGTATGCAAAAACTCAGAACATTTCCATCAAATAAAACCATTTCGTAAATGACTAAATACCACATAATAGAGATTCATGCATTGCCATTCATAAAATGGCTGAGCGATAAATCTTGATAATTTTCGTAGCAAAAATAACTGGAAATGTCAAGGCCAAATAAATTTTCTAATTATATAAAGGAGAGGTGATCAATATCATCTTAATTGTAAAGATCATCGTCCGAGAGATCCATAAAAATCGAGCTGAGCTTCATTTTATACGATAATTAGTCATAATTTGATAGTTTGACATTCGAGTAAGTTACAGCTGGAAAGTTTACAATCTTCTCGTCATAAATTAAACGGCTTGCTTAGCAACAAATTGACTAGATAAAATGTAGATGAATTTCTTTTTCGGAACGCTAAATATTGGCGGTATCGACTCATGACTTGAGAATTTCTAGCTGTACTTTTTACATCTTGTGGTTTTGTTTCGAAATGAAATGACTTCAAATTGAATTATGTTGTGTGATTTGAACATTCACAGGAAAACGATCTAATAGCTTTTAAGAAAGAGTTTATAAATCAATAAGGTAGACAAATACTTTAAAAACTACTCATTGAATGGCTACTGTTCAATGTTAAAACAATGTAATTATATATATTCCGTACATTGTCAACATAATGAATATACAGCACATTATATCTCCCATAAGACAAATTACATTCTTCATCAGCGCATTATTCGTTTCAAAATGGCAATACATCCGCGTTTTTGTAACAAAGTATTTAAATTAAGGACTCAAGAGTTAAGGCCTCGGTCAGCGTAGGCTGAGGTTATTAGCAAGGCAGTGACAATTTTTTTTTTTTTATTAGCAACGCACAATTATACAATGCGACATTGGCCTCGACTTTTCAAAATTGCAAGAACGTAGAACAGAATGTGTCGTTCAAACAGCGTGTCTTCTATCTGTAGCAAGACAATACTAGTGTAATCAGGAACCATCCTTCACAAGTAGTGGAGGTTGCATATTGACTGATAAAATGGCCCCAAAACTGACTAGAAAAAGAAAAATAAATTGTTCCTTTTGATTGCTTTATTGTTAAAAGAGGTCGATTTAAAGTCTATACCCATTTCCAACGAAAACTTAGGTTCGTATTTAGTAGTACATTAAAATTTCACCTACCTTCGCAATACAGAGTGACATCGGCGAGGCTCTCTGAATTCCACAAATTCGCAAACGAAGTGGCCAGGTTTGAACCGAAGCTGTTCCATTTTAGGCAGTACTGTTGCTGCTGGGAGTCCATACCCGGGCCGCCTCTTATTCCTGCCCTGTAAAAGAAAATTCACGTCAGTATTTTTTATTAAAGCACAAGAAATGTTATACTAGGTACTTTATAGTTTCTATTACGTCTAGTACTCGACATCCACACGTACATTGATAGAGCTAATAGAAATAGGAAGGAAGATACTGTTTTCCTTTTTAAATAATAAAACAGCTGATTAGCAAATATCAATTAATACTAAAATATTAAATTATCCTCAATAGGAAAAATCAGAATAATAGAAGCTATTGTATCAATTTCACATAAAAAATGAGATCAACAAAAACATTTTCAGCAATAATCTGAACACAATAAAGTTCAATATTGAACGAACCACCACTGAAAGTTGGAATACACTCGGCACACTTTATTTCCTAACTACTGAAACTTACCGTCAAAAATTCTAATAAAATAAGGGGTTATTTCTATAATTTCATTGTTCGGGGCTCGGTTGGACTGTTCGAAGGTCGAAGGGTGAACAACCGATGCATGATCGATGCCGCCCGCCCGTTGAATACGTAATTCCCAGGATTCCCACGGCTGGGCTCCGGGTAATGTTGAAGGAAGGAATTTATTGAGGGCTATTGTGTGCGATGGGAGTTTACCTACATACCCCATAGCATTTTTGTCTTTATCTGGCACATAATGATTTGTTCGTATTGTATTGGTAGGCTGAAATATTGTCATGCTCTTTGATAGGAAACGTATTATTAAAAATTGTTGTCGTATACTTCTAAGCTGTGTTTGAAATCGTAACAATATTATCTACTTCGTTATCTGTTTATTACTGTTAATGATAAAATGAAGTCTACTAAGTTTCAAGCTTAGTCATTAGCTGTTAGATTAGGAACTACTTTATTTGGATACATTTTACTATTAATATCGCACTCGAAACCGTCCAAGTTAAAAAAGTAAACCAAATTATTCGTAATACCAAAAAACTCCTATATTCATGCCTATTGGTAACCCAAACTCAAGAAAATGCACTTATTTCAAAACACATTCTAAATCACGAACTTCCTTTGAACCTAATTGAATCTGAGAGGTCCCACGTCATATAGATAGTTACTACAGCACCGGAGTTTCCGATAGACCTACGTCATCGTGCTCTATATACAGATGCATATGTACAATGAACTACATAGCCTGCGCTGCATCTATGTAAGTGTTCAACGATTATTGATTGACCCGTTAACCTGTTTCCACGCAAGTGCTGTGCTTCAAACCTACTATTAATTAATAATGGCGTTGTATAATTCAAGACTTTTGTTTCCATGTCACGTGTCCATAATTACTGTTTTCCGGCTTTCAGTTTCACCTTCGAAAATGTAATCGAATTCAAGTAAATTCCAATTTACAAATGGTTGTAAAAGTCAAAGGGGTCATGTTGTTAGTTCTTAAAATAAGGAACCTGTTGGTTGTGAATTTATTTGCGACAATTCGCGGCTCGAACTCACGTGTGTCGTCAAGGATGAAGCCGAAATAAACACATTAATAAATGCAAACAAATTGGTGATATGAACTGTAGAACAAAATTAAATGAAATAGTAAGTTGAAAGAAGAAAAAATAGGTATGTAAATATTTTTAAATTACGATTAATGAAAAGGCTAACTTATGTAAAAGTGAATTAGGTTTAGCTTAAACACTTAACTTGACATTAAAAAGATAAAACCCCGTACCGACCAAAAATTACACATATTCAGGCTAAACTAAGTACTATGGACTATATCCTAAAGGGTTGTTCCAACAAAGTGTTATTAATACGAGCGCAAAAGTTGTAAAATTTAATATTCAAATGGATTCAAAACGTGGGGAAACTACCCTTTTAGACGATAAGGATTGAGTTCAATTTTTAATGGGGATTAGTTAATTGTTAAAAGATAAACTCAGTGGTGAAACTAGATATTTGGAGTAAGAAGCCAAATGATAGAATAATAATTACGGTATAGACATAATAATGTATTTTAATCAAAACAAGACGACTTCCGCGTGCTACACGTGTTTTTCCAGGAAGAATAAAAATGTAACTAGGCAGCCATGGACAATTTGCTGCTAACTATAATATACGACTCTATTGGAATATTAATTCAATTAATTAGGCGGAAAAGCTACCAAAAATAAGATCGCACGTGTAAGTACAACATGAAACAAATTGTGTCAGAACGAATCTCTTAAATCAGTGCCAAAGTTTCTACAAGTCAACCTCTTCACAAGTAAGCTACACGACACGTTACGTCAAATCTATTTGACACTAATTTATCATTCGCTGTATGTACCTCGGCTTCTTGTGTTTTTTATTCATCTTCTCTTTCTTCGTCTTCTTGTATTTTGCGAGATCACAAAATGAATATTTCAGTTTGAAGTTATTCAATTCCCTAGCTCACAAAGAGTCTTAGGTTTGATATTAATGTCACACAAAATTGTCGTTGAAAGACTTCAAAGTTTCTTTTCCTACTTCAGCGGAATGAACAATACGATGTTTCACATTAGCATAATTAGGCAGTCACCGAACCGTGATCCGTGTACTAAACAACGTGCGAATCAGTAGTCGCCTTCGCGAAACACTCCCGCACCCTTTACCCGAGAGTTCCAGGCAGGTTATAACGAGCGTCTAACAAAGGTACGCACACTGCACCGACAGCCAATACGTTATCGATTCGATTCCCATCAGCTCCGTTACAGCCTAACTGTATATTTGCATGCGTGCAGCACACTGAGCCAGTTAACTTTGAACCTCAATGACTCCATTAGCGTCCCCTTTTTGGGGCAATTGTAGGCGTACGCGAGGCGAGAGGTAGGCCTAGATAGACTGGCCGAAGTAGAATTTCGGTTGCGACCCGGTTCCGGCATGCAGCACACGCGCAAGCGTACTAGCCGCGCGGCGGGAGCGGCGCGCGGGGAGCGGCTGCACCGAGTTGCGCAAACTGACGCAGCGGTCACTCTGCAGCCGCGCACAGTAATTGAAATCGAGTGACATCAGAATAAGAACGATAATGGCCCTTATACACCTCCATGACCTATTAACATCTTTCCAAGCTCTATTTCCAAATATTGATTTTTAGTAACTGTTGCTTTATCAGATACCTATGTAGTGAACCACTTCCCTTTACTAGTTTGGATGTACAGAAGACAATAATAGGTGAAACTTTACGTAAGTAACTTCAAACTAACAACACTGCAAGTATCGTTACAAACACTTTAGATTCCACTAGTTGCATGTTGAGCAACTAGTGAAATGCAAATCGGTGCTAATTCAGAACCATCAAAGTAAAATTTCGTTTATAAATCTGTTGATCTACATTAACTTACAGCTATATGTATTACTGACCTACTTCCAACGTGCATATTATTTAAACTAACATGATTTATGAGGAAGATCACAAATGAAATATCATAAAAATACGTCATCGAAAACAATAATCCATTGATCATTGTTCCATAATAAAAATAAACTACATAGATTTAATAAAATAAGACTACAATTACCGTTTGCGAGGATGCGGCATGTAGGTCTTCATTCCGACTTCTAAATTCGAAAATTGGAACGAGTGCGCGACTGCGATGATTTAACAGTGTGCAATGGTCGGGCCCCTAACGGTGCTCAGACAAAGGCCTGCATCGAGCGGCTCGCAACTATTGCACTGACTTCCCAGCGCCCTTTACCCCGCGCCCTGCTCCCCTCACCTCCATCACTATATATCTATCTAACAAAAGTATAGAACACACTGAAAATTGCTACGCGGGCGCTACGAACGGCTATTATTGGAAACCCGTGTAGAGAGCGTTTGAATACAACTTAGACCTTAGGAATTGATGGTTTAAACATTTTGCCGTATCCTTTGTGGCGTTTAATTGAAGTAGGTAATGGATTCAACGTTGTAATTAGGAAAGTTATTTCATAATACATATTTTTATAGAGCTTTTGTATGATGTTAGGTTTTATTGATGTTATGAAATGTGAAATTCTTTTAATGTAAGTAACGTTTGTTAGAAAATATTTAGTTTACAACATAACGTATTCATACGTTCAAATTGTTGAAAAATACCAACAATAATCTACATGAATCAAATCTGTATCACGCTATACATTGTACGGTGCACGATCATACAAATATCTAGTCAGAAACACAATTGCCGCACTTAAAACTTCCTCATAGAATGCCCAGCTTTCTAGGTCAAATGGGTTGGACGACAGTAGAAAATGCATTTAGTTGTAAAGCTAGTAACACACTGACGACCCGCAACGGCGCGGATTCGCGTTTATGAACCACAACTAGACTTAGTATTGCGGTTATGACTTTTACTGGTTTAAAACCGACTTTAATTTGTTTGTTGATTCATACTGTACGATTTCATAACAACCGCAATTGTCTTAACGAAATAAATCGATCAATTCTATCCTAAATACAAAAGAAATTCAAAGACTAATAATAACGTATCAGAAGACAAAAACAACGCATTTCTTCCAACACAAATCGATCCATGACTAATGTATAAATAATGAGTAATCGCTCACCAAAACGGGCGCCCGGATATCCAAAACACCATTTAAATAAAATTATTTTCGATACGTGCTTGCATTGGCAGCGGCGCCATCACATAAAAATAAATACTATTATTTATATCACCATTGTCATAACTAAAGGTTCGATAGTTACTGTACATATTTTATATACTGGCTGCATAAACAATGAAATATTCCCGATTTAAGAATAAAAAAACGAAACAAAGCGCTTCTTTAGTTTCAAAGTTGTAATTCTCACAGAAAACAATCATTATCTTGGTTACAAAACATTGTTCCCGAGGCGTGACGATGCCACGATGGTTAGATAGTTACTTGCAGCAAAGAAAGCCCTGCATCGGTATTCTGTTACGGTTTTCGCGCGTGTGTACTGGCCCTTGGGTTCCTACCAAACGACGTTGTATTACGCAAGTCGGTGTCGAAATCAAACGCAGCATGAGAACGGGTTTTCTAAATTCCCACACGACAACGGTGCAATGATGAA